GGCAATGCTCTGCCTTCTTGTTTCAGCTCTCATAAAAAATATAAAATAAACATAAAAAAAGAGAGACTAACTCTAGCTGGGGAGCTAGAGAAGGCTTTATAGTAAAGGCAGCAATGTAGCTGGGCCTTGAAGGATAGGTAGAAATTGGTAGAGATATAGAAAAAATAGACCTTTTAGAAAAAATAATATGAATAGAAGAAGATAATATGAATAAAGAGACACAGACGTCTAGCTAATGGTAATGTCTTAGGGGTAATAGTATGAGATAAATCTAAGATGGGGTTAGATCATGAAAAGGCTTGAGTGCCATGTCACTGGATCTTATTCAACAGGTGCTGGGGAACTACTGAAAAGATGTGAACTTGAAAGTCACATGATCAGAGCTGGGCTTTAAAAGATTTGGCTGGGGGCTTCCCTGGTGGCGCAGTGGTTGAGAGTCCGCCTGCCAATGCAGGGGACGCGGGTTCGTGCCCCAGTCCGGAGAGATCCCACATGCTGCGGAGCGGCTGGGCCTGTGAGCCATGGCTGCTGAGCCTGCGCATCCGGAGCCTGTGCTCTGCAACGGGAGAGGCCACAACAGTAAGAGGCCCACGTACCGCAAAAACAAAAACAAACAAACAAAAAAGATTTAGCTGGCATGAGTGCGTAGAAAGGATTGGCAACAAAGGGACTGGAAACAGGAAAACCAGTTAGGATGCCTAGGACAGCCTAAGCAAAAGGTAATAAAGTCCAAAAGCAGGGCAGTGGCAGTGAAACTGTAAAAGAAGTAATGACTACAAAAGACACAGCATACTATTAGAATGATTTATTGGCTGTAGAAAGATGGACCTTACAAAATTTTAGCCAGATGAGGCAAACACAGCCATTTTCCACTGTAAAAATAAAAAGGTGGCTCACATGGAATTTACTAGGCATGAAAAATAGGAGTATGTTGCATAAATACTTTGGTGGGACACCTTACTATATTATGCATTCAATAATTACTTATTGACTGCCAGCACTGTGCAAGGTCATACAGTAGCAAACAAGACAAAACATTACTCTTTTATTTACTGAGCTTATAGATATTAACAATCGCTCTATGGTAAGTCTTTATGAAAATTCCTAAACTAATATGAAAAAAACTTGTCCACTAAAATGAGTTTTCTTTGACGATGATCTTCGTTACCTGCTTCCAGTTGAAATTCAAAGCAACAACTGTTAAAGACCAGTTATCTGAGATCTTACATCCATCCATATCACTGCACAGATTAAGTCAAGCAAAAAATATTTACTGAGTGCCTATTTAACACTCACAATGAACTAGGTGTCATGAAAAATACATGTATGAAAACAATGATTTCCAAAAATGCCAAGAACTAAGCCCAGTGAAAAGTGCTGCCCCCTTCATCACTCCCTTCACTTTTAACAGGGGAATGAACTGCAATTCATGCCCCCCAAAACTTATGGCAAGAAATTAGGGGATAAAAAGCAAACTGATTTAAGAATTAAAAAAAAATGCTTATGAATAGATTTTAAAAAGCTAAACGACATCTATTCTACAAATAAAAGAAGGCAACTAGAAACAAATTTTGAAAATTCGAGTTGTAAAATTTGGAATGATTTAAGAGAAAACTAAAAAGGAAGGACTGAAAGGACGAAAATAAAATATTTAAACAAATATGGAATGTCCTTTTAAAAAACTGCAGTAGTTGACATCACTGATTCCACCTGAATCAGAATTAAGTATATCTTAAAATGTTTAACAGAATGATGTAGTAATAAAAGATGGACCACAAGATTAAACATGACTCCATTTAGAAATCTCTCTTATACTACGGATCTTATGGCCCTATTGCAGGGAATGATTTTCAGTCTTTTTTTTTTTTTTTTTGCACTATGTGGGCCTCTCACTGTTGTGGCCTCTCCCGTTGCGGAGCACAGGCTCCGGACACGCAGGCTCAGCGGCCATGGCTCACGGGCCCAGCCGCTCCGTGGGATGTGGGATCCTCCCAGACCGGGGCACGAACCCGCGTCCCCTGCATCGGCAGGCAGACTCTCAACCACTGCGCCACCAGGGAGGCCCTGCGGGGAATGATTTTCAAACTCATAGGCAAGGGAGCTTGTTAAAAAATGCAGATTCCCTGAACCCAGTTCCACAGATTCTGAATTTACAAGATCTGTAGTAGGACTCAGGAATCTACACCATTTAACAAGCATTCAAAGTAACTCTATTGCAGAGACTTCCCTGGTGCTCCAGTGGTTAAGCCTCCATGCTTCGAATGCAGGGGACGCTGGTTGGATCCCTGGTCAGGGAACTAGGATCCCACAGGCCGTGTAGCGCGACCAAAAAAAACCCCAAAGTAAGTCTATTGCAAGTAGTTAGGGTTAACACGCTGAGGAATCCTGCAGTGTTTTAACTCAACTAAGATCTTCAATTTATAAACAAGATAAGCTAATCGGAGCATGGTTAAATGCCTTACTCAAATTTAGAGGTCCTAATTCCTGCCAGGCTGACAGAGTTAAGTCTTCCTCCCCTGAGCCATTGCTGTTTCTTCAGTCTCTCCCACTAGTCTGCTCCTCCCCACTTTCAAAGTCAAATTCTGTGATAAGGTTTTTCCTGGCCACCTGGGCCCACACTAGGGTTTTCTGATACCTTTTTCCACAACTGGGATAAGCAGCTCCCTGGGGAAAAACTAAGCTTTTACTTTTGTATTTCCTTCACTGTGAGACATATGAATATTGTTTTCCTTTTTACTGCCTTCAATTTGCAAGCAGTATCCTGCTTTTCCCCAAGTAAATATTTAGCACAGTGCAAACCATATGAGTACTAACTAAATAAATAGAAGCTTATATTTCTTAACCCTATAAAGCAGTGCTTTTCTAACTGTGGGTCGCGGCTCACAATCAAATATGAAACCAATTTAGTGGGTCACAAATATCATTAAAGAAAAACAAATAGAATAGTTTGATATATGTATGGGGGGTATTGCCATGTAAAATATTTTCACTGTAGGTTGCAAAAACGTTTGAAAGCCACACTTTTGTGCTAATGAACTTCTCCAACACAACTTTACCATTAGGTAGACAAATAAGTTTTCTCACGTGATTAACATTCAACCACTCCGTTAGTCTTCCCATTCTCCACTCCCCAAAGATAATACTGGATTTATTTATTCATTCCCCTTTCCTTAACTCAAATGAAAAGGAGAAGGAATAAGTACTAAGCTTGATAAGCATATTTCACAGCTCAAGGTCCACAGGAGCCTGTCTGTGTTCCTTCTTCAGATGGGTCATCCAAGTGTTGTGATGCACTTCGGGTGGGCTCTTGGAGCACCTGTCTCTTGACCCAAGTCTATCTGAAATTCCAGACGTCCCAAACAGGGCTTTGAAATTTTCACATCCTGCTTCATTCACACTGGTCCTAGGCTTATTAATGTATGTGTTTTTTTCAAGATCACCTTCTTTCCTGTCTTGGAGCCAGGTTCTTTATTTCCACCATAACATTACTTTCTGGTAATCCTTGATACTCTCTACAAGTTTAAATATAATTACCTATGTTTCAAATCACTTGTATTTTCTCTTTTCCTAACCTAAGGTGGTATTCACACTGACAAAGTTGTATCCTTTTCCAGGTCTTGCATGTATCTTGCATCCTCTTAAACAGCAGGTCTAATCTAGACCTAATAATGCAGTAACTGTGACCTGTCACATCTCTACTACAGCCTTAGCCTTTGTACTGTTACCAACCATACTCTCATTACTTTAGCTTCAACTCAGATCTCACTTCCTCCAATAACTTGCCTAAATGCCTCCAATTCAAATAGTCTCCCACTCTCCAACCCTCATTTATACTGCTCACACCTCTACAGCACCTGTCAGTCTACAAAATTTTAGAATTATTTTTGAATCTGTCTCCTGTATTAGTTTCCATGCCTGACTTTAACTCTCACGTGTATACTTCTCAGTATCCAGCAAAAATCAGAGCGCAGGTCACACAGTATTGTACTTTATCGTACTGAAAAGGGGAAGAGCTAAATCCAGTGGCTATAAAAATAGGTTAGGAGCTGCTTCTCATTTTGCACACCCTCCATACCCTGTTCAATTGCACGGTATTTTTTTTTTTTAATGAATAAAACCATGAACGTTCCAATGGGAGAACCGTGGGGAAATGGCCATAAAGGCCGCAGAAATGAAACGCGAAGGCATGATAAAACGGCTGTGATGCTCTCTGCATTTCCACACGTGGCCCGGTAAATCGGTGCCAGAACGCCTCGCGCAGCCTGCGCCTTTCTGCTCTGTCATCCCTTTACTCTATTTCAAAACGGCCACACCGCTCCGCCGAACTTGTCTGAGCGCTCTCTCGGGGGGCCCCGGAGCCCCGAGGCCCCGAGAAAACAGATCCCCCTCTTGCCTTGCTCCAGGTCCGGCCTCCACTTGCCACAGGCACCGGAATGACAGGGGGCCACCGTCTCCCTTCAATAGTCCCAACTAAAATGGAAGCGCGTCCAGACCTGGGTACCTTTAAGCCTCGAGTCAGCCCCGGAGTCTGCAGGCCGCCGTATCTCTCCATCTCAGTGTGACCTGAGCCAGGCTCTGCCTCCCCGGCGCAGTCTTGCCACAACTTCCCCACCGTCAGGTCCCATCAGCCTCCGCACACACATGCAGCCGACCCAGCAGGCCTCGGGGACGTTGGCATGTCGTTCCGGCGGTCAAGGTTCCCGAAAATGACCTGACCGCCGAGCGCTTCTATTTAAACATACCCCACACTGTCTAACTTCCTTCCTCTGCACTCATCTTCCCCACCGGTCCCATACTTCCTGAGTTTCCACCGTTCTCCAAGAAACGTGTCCACCGATCACCTCCTCCGCCTGGGGAGACTGCGTCCCGGCTCTCGACTAACCTCACTCTTTTCCTTTTCCACTCCTGGCTGGGGCGGCTCGCGTTCGGCCTCCCGCAAGCTCGAGGGGCTCCAGGCTGGGCCCTCGCCCCTACTCTCCCGCCGCTCCTCCCCTACTCACTTTGGGCTTCTCCGGCAATTTCTTCCGGTTCTTCTTCTTCTGCTCCTCGCTCCTGAGATTCTTCAGCACGCCTAGGTCGTCAGCGGCCGGGCCCGGCGCGGCCGCCGCCTCCTCCCGCTTGCGAGGCGGGCTCCTCCGCTTCTTGCGGGCTCCGGCGCAAGCCGCGGCCCAGCCGTAGCCGAGCAGGAAGAGCAGCAGGAGCCCGAGCGCGCCCATGCCCACCAGGATCACCCAGCCCGGGTACCGTTTCGGCTCCAGCCCCAGGTCGAGGCCCAACTCGGTGCGCAGAAAGCCTAGGCCGACCGAGAGCATTTCCTGCAGCCGGGCTGAGCCCTCCTCGGCCTGCTGGGCCAGCTCGTCCAGCCAGCTCCGTGGAGCCATCTTCCCTCCCGTCAGGGGCACTCGCAGAATGACGCCGGGGCGCAGAGACGCCGTGGAACAGTCAAGGGAAGCAAGGTAAGGCCAGGCCGGACCGCCTCAGGCCGAGCGCATTGCGGCCGCCCCTCGCGCAGGAGCCGGGGATCGGCCGCTGCCGCCGCCAGGAGGACAGGGGGCTCCCAGTGCCCCCCGTCAGCCTCACTCCGCCGCCGCCAGGAGGAGGGGGGCGGCGGGAGGGAGTGTCTCCAGCGGCGGCCGCTAAGCGGCGTCTCCGCGCCAGGGCCAGGCCCCGCTGTCCTCCCTCGGCGGAACAATGGCGGCTCCGGCCGCGATCCACGCAGCGAGCGTAGACTAGGAGCAGGGCAGCGGGTCACGTGGGCGCCGGTGGGCGGGGCGTGGGGTGTCACGTGGGCGCGGGCGAGGCCGGGCGGGGCTGGAGCCGTTGGAGCTAGCGCGCCGCGGCTGCAGTTGGCGGTGACCCTTTCGTGCCTGGTGGCGGCGCCGAGCCTTGGGGATCGGTGACTCTGGGCGGGTGGCTGGGAGGGGTTAACCGGAGGAAGTCTTTGCGGGATGGCTGGTGGCCCGGAGCTAGGAGACGTGGCGCTTTGACTGAGTCCAGGGGAGGGGCTCTCGGCGAAGCCTGGGGATTAAGGGGTGTGGAAGAGGGCGAAAAGCGAGGAACCGGGTCACGGGGTCTGGGTCAAAATTGCCCTAGTAGCTGTCTCTTTTCTCCATTCTTTTTCTGGTAGTGGTGTCGGGGTGGAAGCGGCTTTTTCTCTCTGGGTCACCGGTCGGCTAGATGCTTCCAGGTGGGCTCAGCCGAGTCTGAAACCGGTCACTCTTCTTTCAGCGCATAGGTTTCGTTCACAAATTGGGTTTGTCTCTTCACGGCCAGCTTACCCACATTGCGTGTCTACCATTTGCCTGCCTGGCTAGGGCGCTTTTGCGTGGTTTCTCTCCTTCGCTCTTGCTCTCGCTGTTATTAGTCGCCAGAATTCAAAAGTTGGAAAGCCCGTGGGCAGTATTCTTTTCCTACTCGTTTGTAGCTTTAATAAGAAATAAGAGGCATACTGGATTGTGTTTTACATGTAGAGGTAGATTCCTTGTTGCGTTTTATTTTAAGCTTTTGGGCAAGATCACAAAAGGAGTTTGCAAAAATTCTGGATTTTTTTTGCTGTGTTGACCATATCTGGGTAGCGTTAGTAAGAAATGAATTTTCAGATCTCAGTTACAAAGATGATATTCGGGGCTGCCGTAGGGTTTTCAAGTTACATTTCCCCGTAAGGAAACTGGTGTTTTATCCTTACATGATGATTAGCAGGTAAGCAAGTGTCTTAAGTGAACTAAAATCAGGCTTTCTCAAAGAATAGAAAGTAAATAATACATAATAAAATAATACATAATTGGTAATTATTTAATTGGTAAATAATAAATAATAAAAATAAACTGCTACTCTTGCAAAGCTTTATACAGACTTGTAATTAAAGGTTGTGTAAATTACAAGAGGCCAAAACTTAGAAGATGTCATTGGAATTACTTCATCTCTAAAAGGTTCCAAATTCCACTTATATTTATGAAAGTAGATTTATCATTCTGCATTTATGTTTTGGTTCCACAGACATGAAGGATGATGACTTTCCTAAGAAGTTCCACTGCCCATTCTAGGTTAGCACCTGTGGATTTATGAATTAAGCTATTATACAATAATAGTAGCTGGGTTTGCCTGTTCTTTTGGCAGCCTAGCAAGTATTGATTATGTAAAATCCTGTCATCTTTCTTTTTCCATGACTCTCCTTTGACCTTAAAAAGAAAATGTTTATTTTGGTAATACAGGTATAATCATTTTTCATATATAACTTTGTAGTCATCTTTTTAAGTTTTTATTTTAAGAACAAAAATGGAGTCATACACTATTTACTGTTTTGCATTTGATGTGGTCATGAACATTCATGTCACTTGATAAAGCCCACCTGATGAAGCTCACCAGGAACATACCAGTAGCCCCACAAAGTTAGGTTTATTAACTTGCAGCAGAATGAAGTTTAGGTAAAATTTAAAGGAAGGAATGCTTTGAAAGACAAAGCAAGCTGTGTCTAAAAGAGTTACTATCAGGCCTGGCCTAAGTAGACTCAGAATCCTAATTCCTTGGACATGGCAAAGAAGAGAAATATAAAACGTCATTTCTGAAACCTCTTTCCTGGAGGCAACTGGGTTGGGAATGAAGACTGCTTATTCTGAGCCAGAGTGACCCATACAATGGAATACCACTCAGACATAAATACATGCAGCAACATAGGTGAATCTCAACATAATTACGCTGAGTAAAAGAAGGTGAAAGAAGCCAGGCAAAAAAGAGTATGTACTGTATGACTCCATTTGTATAAAAACTAGAAAGTGCAAACTAATCTATAGTGACAGCAAATCAGTGGTGACTTGGGGAGGGGAGTGGGACCAAGGAGCAGTGGGAGGGAGGGGTTTAAAAGGGGCACAAGGAAACTTTGGGGAGTGATGGCTATGTTATCTTTATTATTATGGTTTTATGGGTCTGTGGGTTTTATGGGTTTATGTATGTCAAAACTTACCAAATTGTATACTTTAGATATTGTAGTTTATGTCAAATATACCTCAATAAAACAGTTCACAGAAGTTTTTTGAAAAATGACCCCTGTGGAACAGCTGTGTATAGGGGTGGCATGCTCCATGCTCGCAGATAGGATTTTTAAAAAATGATATTTATTTATTTATTTATTTATTATTTGGTCGCACCTCGCGACTTGTGGGATCTTAGTTCCCTGAAACCAGGGATCGAACCCTTGCCCTCGGCAATGAAAGTACAGAGTCTTAACCACTGGACTGCCGGGGAATTCCCACTGATAGGATTTTTAACAAAGTTTTTACCAATCTATGATTTTAAGGTTTCTCAGCACTATATCCATTTATTTATTTATTTATTTTTGGCTGTATTGGGTCTTCGTTGCTGCGTGCGGGCTTTCTCTAGTTGTGGCGAGCGGGGGCTACTCTTTGTTGCAGTGCGCGGGCTTCTCATTGCGGTGGCTTCTCTTGTTGCGGAGCATAGGCTCTAGGCACACGGGCTTCAGTAGTTGTGGCTCTCGAGCTCTAGAACACAGGCTCAGTATTTGTGGTGCACAGGTTTAATTGCTCTGCAGCATGTGGGATCTTCCTGGACCAGGGCTTGAACCTGTGTCCCCTGCATTGTCAGTCAGATTCTTAACCACTGCACTACCAGGGAAGTCCTCAGCACTATATCCTTGATGTTAATTATCAAAAAAGTTTTCTTTTTTACAGATTTGCATAATAAATATTCACTTATTCTATGATCTGGCTCTACTGTAATTTATTTAACATACTTTATTGTTGGTTAGGTTATTTACAAGTTTTTTTTGTTTTTTTGCCAGTAAGTGCAATTCTGTCATGAATATGCTTGTAACTAAATAGCTGTGCGAATATCCATAGTAACTTTTTAAAATCAGTTTTATTTTATTTTTAAAATAATTAAATAATTAATTAATTAATTTGACTGTGCGGGTCTTAGTTGCAGCATGTGGGATCTTTCCTTGCAGTGCATGGGCTTCTCTCTAGTTGTGGCGCTCAGACCCCAGAGCACATGGGTTCAGTAGTTGCCCCACGGCATGGAGGATCTTAGTTCCCCAACCAGGGATCGAACCTGCGTGCCCTGCATTGGAAGCCGGGTTCTTAACCACCAGACAGCCAGGGAAGTCCTCATGATAAGTTCTTGAGGGTAAAGTCCTGGCACTGTCATTGCCTGAGGCATAGCCCACGGTATGTGATTTAACGCTTAGTTTGGAAGTTTTAAGAGACCTGAAGAAGTTCTTCCTAAGGCCTCTCACTTCATAGAAGAGAAAAAGGAAGCTTCAAAGGGTTAGGGCTTGTACCGCAGTGTCAGGGTGGCTGAGCTCATAGGAGAACCCAGTCTTCCCTGTTCTTGACCCCTTGGTTGCTCCTCCTCTTCATATACTCTGTGATCAGTTCTTGGGATTAGTGTGTGTTTGTTTTCTCCGACTGCTGTAACAACATTCCATAGACTAGGTAGCTTAAACAACTGAAATTTAGTTTGTCACACTTCTAGAGGCTCGAAGTTCAAGATTGGGGGCCAGCATGGTTGGGTTGTGGTAAGGGCTCTCTTCCTGGCTTGCAGATGGCCAGAATCTTGCTGTGTCCTCACATGGTGGAGAGAGAGCCAATGAGCTCTCTAGTGTCTCTTATAAAGATGCTAATCCTCTCAGATCAGGGCCTCACCCTTATGACTTCATTTAACCTTAATTGCTTCCTTAAAGACCCTATCTGCAAATATAATCATGTTGGGGTTAGGGCTTCAACATATGAATTTGGAGGGGGGGACACAAACTTTCAGTCTATAACAATGCAGGAAGCTTCCATTCAAGTAGCTTATCTTTCAGGGCTGATGAAAGAAAAATGCTGATTTGGGTCTTTAAAATGGAGGCTATTGACATTATGAACTCCTGGGTCACAGGATTATATACCAAGGAGGAGGATTTTTTTAAAAAAATTTATTTTATTTTTGGCTGTGTTGGGTCTTTCTTGCTGCGCGTGGGCTTTCTCTAGTTGCGGCGAGCCGGGGCTACTCTTCATTGCAGTGCACGGGCTCTAGGCACATAGGCTTCAGTAGTTGTGGTGCGCAGGTTCAGTACTTGTGACGCATGGGCTTAGTTGCTCCGCAGCATGTGGGATCTTCCCGGACCAGGGCTCGAACCCGTGTCCCCTGCATTGGCAGGTGGCTCCTTAACCACTGCGCCACCAGGGAAGTCCTAGGAGGAGGATTTTACAGTAAAGCAGGGAATACAGTTGAGTGTGCCAAGAATTTGGAGATATGGTCAGGAAAGGGTTACCCTCGGAATAAATTTTGTAAGAATTAGTAAATAATAAAGTTCTCTGCAGATGTATGCTAAGCTGAAAGATAGTTTATGAGTGTGTTGCTGAAAGGGCCAGGATACTTCCAAGCCTCTTTAAAAGATTGGAGAATTTGCTAAGAACCTGGGTGGAACTAAAAACTGGTTGGGGCATGAGGGCAGGGGCCAGGGGAAGCAGAAAAGACGGTGAATATGGTAACAAATATGAAAGTTGTGGTGTATCCATTCAGTGGAATGCTGTGCAGCAATGAACATGTCCAAGGACACTCATTGCGATACCATGTATGTAAGGTTTAAAAAATAGGTTTATAGGGCTTCCCTGGTGGCGCAGTGGTTGAGGGTCCGCCTGCTGATGCAGGGGACGTGGGTTTGTGCCCCGGTCCAGGAAGATCCCACATGCCACGGAGTGGCTGGGCCC